CACATCATATATCATATGTATAATATATCATATAAACCACATTACATCATATATCAAATATATACACCACATCATATATCATATGTATAATATATAGACCACATTATATCATATATAGTATATATCCTATATGCCACATCACATCGTATATATAATATATAGACCACATCACATAATATACCATATTATATACATATCATATATAAACCACATTACAGCATATATCAAATATATATATCTTGTATATAAACCACATTACATCATATATCAAATATATATACCATATCATATATATATATTTTATCATATATATAATATATAGACCACATCACATCATACACCATATTACATATATCATATAAACCACATTACATCATATATCAAATGTATACACCACATCATATATGTATAATATATAGACCACATCACATCATATATGATATTACAAATATAAACCACATTAAATCATTTATCAAATATATATACCACATCATATATCATATATCATATATATAATATATAAACCACATTACATCATATATAGTATATATCATATATTCCACATCACATCACGTATCACATCTTAAATCCTCATTTCAAGTGCATTTTGCCACATTGAGTGCTATCCATTTGGAAGCTGTGGACAAGCATGGGCAGCGCCCAGCCGTCTGGAAGCTGACCTGCTGAAGGACGCAGATGGTGGGCTCCGAGAGTGATGACAGTGGACGGAGGTTCCGTGTGTCTTCTGGAGGAGAATGACGCTGCCTCCTGTCCTGCAGTCTGTCCTCCTCCTGGCTGGGAATTGCCATGGTCCCTTCCTGTGATTCACTTTATTCAGTGTAGCTCACAAAACAAGACAAGTGTCTCTGTCCTCAGAAGACTCAGTAGCCCACCCCTCTCCCCGGTGCCCCTCTTCCCAGTGCCCCTCGCTCCCACGCCCCTGACCCCGCGCCCCTCTCCTCTGCCAGTCTCTTAGTCTTCCTCCTCCCCCTCCCCCCTTGGGGCTCCCCAGCACTGATGGCGACTCAGGGACCGTCTTCTGAGTTTTCAGGCTGGAAGGACAGGATGCGTTAATTGGTCCTCCATGAGGAGGGCTGTGGTGTCCATGACTTGGGTGGACCAGATACAGAGGTTGAGCTCAGAGCAGTCCTGTTTGACGCTAGCATTGATAGAACTTGGACAGAGAAAGCTTTGCCAGTTTGACGGGGTGAAGTGTTCGCAAGCGCTGAGAGCTTGTGTTTAAGTCCGACTCTGAGCAAGTCCAATGGCACCGTTTCCTTCTGTCCTTGGGGCCGTGTGAGGACTGTTGTTTTTTGGGACCAGCCTGATTTGCACAGCGGGGACCCCTGCCCGACCCGGTGCCGTCCCCACCGCCTCTGCTGGGTTCAGGCACCTGCTGGTATCGCTGTGTCAGTCCGAGTCCCGAGGGCTTCCTCCTGTCCACTGACCCGAGTCCTGAGGGCTTCCTCCTGTCCACTGACCCGAGTCCCGGGGGCTTCCTCCTGCCCACCGACCCGAGCGAGCCCCGAGGGCTCCTTCCTGTCCACTGACCTGAATCCTGAGGGCTTCCTCCTGCCCACCAACCCGAGCGAGCCCCGAGGGCTTCCTCCTGCCCACCGACCCAAGTCCTGAGGGCTCCCTCCTGCCCACCGACCCAAGTCCCGAGGGCTCCCTCCTGCCCACCGACCCAAGTCCCGAGGGCTCCCTCCTGCCCACCGACCCGAGTCCTGAGGGCTTCCTCCTGCCCACTGACCCTCTGTGGTCCCTGCACCATGTCTTTCTCCAAGGCCCCCCCTCCTGACAGGTGTGTGGGGTGGCCCCTCACCTCCTGCCTCTGAGGAGCTCCTGCTTGCACTTCCTGGGACAGATCTGCCTGTTCTCGGGACAGTCCCTGGGATGGGCCATCCTCTATGACAACACCCCGATTCAAGGGCCTCAGTTCTTGAGTCTTATTGTCTGTCCAGCTTCAACATGATGGGACACACACACCACAGCAGAGCTGGCGGCCGTCCCTCATAGTTCACTTACGGTCCAGAGATGGGTTTGTTTTCATTAGGAAAATCATGCTTTGGAAATAACCTGGTAGGTATTGTTCACAACCTCCTCCTGATGTTCCGTCTGATTTTGTTGTGGTTTAACAAACCGGGTGCTGCTGCGGGGCCGGGTGCTCACAGGCTGTGTGTGTGGGTGGAACTGTGCTCCGAAGTCTGCAGGGGCCTGTCTTGGGGCTGGGACACTTGGGGGCTGTGTGTGTGGGCAGGACTGGGCCCCCCAAGTGTGCAGGGACTGGGATGCCCAAGGGCTGTGTGTGTGGGCAGGACTGGACCCCCCAAGTGTGCAGGGACTGGGATGCCCAGGGGCTGTGTGTGCAGGCAGGACTGGACCCCCCTAAGTGTGCAGGGACTGGGATGCCCAGGGGCTGTGTGTGTGGGCAGGACTGGACCCCCCCAAGTGTGCAGGGACTGGGACGCTCAGGGGCTGTGTGTGTGGGCAGGACTGGACCCCCCCCAAGTGTGCAGGGACTGGGATGCCCAGGGGCTGTGTGTGTGGGCAGGACTGGACCCCCAAGTGTGCAGGGACTGAGATGCCCAGGGGCTGTGTGTGTGGGCAGGACTGGACCCCTAAGGCAGGGGCTGGTTTTGGGGAGTGGGTCACCAGGCTTTCCTTCTGAGGCTCCTCTGACTGACCCAGCTGCGTGCGCTTGTTCACCGTGTGCCCTGGGGCCTCTTGGTGGCTTCGGATCTGGGAATTTGGAATTTGGCTGCCCGATAACCAGATGGTCTGGGCACGCAGGGACTCGTGTGTTTGTGCTTGGTTCAGCCCCAGCGGGAAGGTGCGGAATGTGCCGGAACCACAGCTCGTGGAGCTGCCGTGGGTGGTGGGGTGAGGTGTCCAGGCCAGCAGCTCCCCACCCTGCACAGCTGAACCTGGAAGCCAAGCAGAGTCTGCCCCGAGTCTCCCTGGGTACGACTCATGGAACCTGCTTGGTCCTGCTCTGTCCACTCCATCTCTGCTCTGCCTGAGCCCGTCGCCAGCTCCGTGAGGGTCTGCACCCTGCACAGCGGGGCCTGATGCCGAGTAGACCCTTGTCCTATCCTCCTGTGGCCAGCGGGTGGGGGACCTGATTGTCCTGGTCCATTCTCGTGAACTCCACTCTGCCTGAGCCCATCACTGCAGCCGTGGGTCAGGCCAGCTCCATGAGGGCGCATGGGCCTGGACGTCCCTGGAGACTGTGGAGAACCCACTGGCAGCTGATTGCTCCTGAGGACTGTTCTCTGGGGGACACTCCGTCAGGTGCCCTTCTCAGTGTCCTCACAGTCGGTAGTGCCCATCTTTAAGAAAGGAACGATGAGTGTGTATGAGTGTGTGCACACATGGGGCTGTGCATGCGTGCCTGTGCCTGTGTACACGTGTGTACGTGTGCACACGGGAGGGTGTACACATGCGTTTGTGTACGTGTGCACATGTAGGCATGTGAATGCTCCCAAGTGTGGATGTGTGTGTCCACACGTGTTTGTGTACATGTACGCGTGTGTGAACGCACCGAGTGCGGACGTGTGTGCACACGTGTTTGTGTACACGTGCACATGAATGTACCGAGTGCGGACGTGTGTGCACACGTGTTTGTGTATATGTACGTGTGTGTGAGCGCACCGAGTGTGGACGTGTGTGGACACATGTTTGTGCACATATAAGTGTGTGTGAATGTGTGTGCATACATGTTTGTGTACATGTACAAGTGTGTGTGAATACACGGAGTGTGAATGTGTGTGCACACGTGTTTGTGTACATGTACGCGTGTGTGAACGCACCGAGTGCGGACATGTGTGCACACGTGTTTGTGTACATGTGCACGTGAATGTACCGAGTGCGGACGTGTGTGCACACATGTTTGTGTATATGTACGCGTGTGTGAGCGCACTGAGTGTGGACGTGTGTGGACACGTGTTTGTGCACATGTACGTGTGTGAACGTGTGTGCGTGCACATATACGTGTGTGTGAATGTGTGTGCACACGTTTGTGTACATGTACAAGTGTGTGAATACATGGAGTGTGAATGTGTGTGCACACGTGTTTGTGTACATGTACGCGTGTGTGAATGTACCGAGTGCGGACGTGTGTGCACATGTGTTTGTATACATGTACACGTGTGTGAGCGCACCGAGTGTGGACGTGTGTGGACACGTGTTTGTGCACATGTACGTGCATGAACGTGTGTGCGTGCACATGTACATGTGTGTGAACGTGTGTGCACACATGTTTGTGTACATGTACAAGTGTGTGTGAATACACGGAGTGTGAATGTGTGTGCACACGTGTTTGTGTACATGTACGCATGTGTGAGCGCACCGTGTGTGGACACGTGTTTGTGCACATGTACGTGTGTGCGTGCACATGTACATGTGTGTGAACGTGTGTGCACACATGTTTGTGTACATGTACATGTGTGTGAATACACGGAGTGTGAATGTGTGTGCACACGTGTTTGTGTACATGTACGCGTGTGTGAACGCACCGAGTGCGGACGTGTGTGCACACGTGTTTGTGCACATGTACATGTGTGTGAATGCACCGACTGTTGACGTGTGTGCACATGTGTTTGTGTACATGTACGCGTGTGTGAGCACACCGAGTGTGGACGTGTGTGCACACACTTGTGTGTGTGCGTGCACATGTATATGTGTGAGTGCATACGCGTGAGCTTGCACACTCCCCGCTGTGCATCAGGGTCTGGTTGCAGCTCCGCGGTCTGCTCCGGGTGTCTGGCAGTTCCTGTGTTCTTCCCTGCACAGCACTGTTGTGGCCGCAGTGTGTGCTGACTGCCTTCCCGCTCACAGCCGGTGTTGCGGCCCTGAATCTGACAGTGTCTGCCACAACCCACAGCCTCAGTGCCGGGTGACAAGCACCGACACAGTGTCTGCAGCAACGGGCTCAACCACAGCCACCGTCGGAGGACGGCAGGGTGGGTGGTCTGTCCTCCTGTTGGGCGTGAGCCAGAACTGTGGACGGCAGCTGACAACAGCAGAGATGGATGGATGGATTTAGGCCGCCGGAAGGAACACATCAGTGAGAAGGGCGGCCAGGGTGCTCCCTCCAGGCGGGGTATGAAGACACCGGCTCACTTCCCGTATGGCAGCGTTAACAAACTGTGATCCCTGGACTGTGGCTGGCGACGTTGGTAATCAGGGCCAGCCAAAACGAGGGAGACGCCCCCTGGGACAGGTGGCACAGTGACCATAGGGTGGACACTCCTGTTCCAGCGGCCCTGAAGATGGGGCATGGAGATGTATGTCAGTGGGGCGTGACTCAGAACCCCTCGATGGAAGCGAACAACTGTTTATTTGGGGTTGTCATTTCAGTGATACTGTAAGAAGCAGTGTCTCAGAAATAGCAAAGCCATAGACGGGTGAGGGGAAACGGACCCACTGCCGGTCGCTTTCCCCACCGGACGGCCATCTGAGAGCCCTTGAGGGCATTGAGAACAGCGACTCGCTCGCGGCTGGTCCAGAAGAGCTTGCACCCCACTCGTTAATGGGTGACACCTCCAGGAGGAATGTGGCTCATTGATTCCGGAGTTGGACAGCCAGCCACACTCTCCAGCTGTCGCACTTGATTCTCAAGTGGAAGACTTCAGTCTGATTTAAAATTCCAATAGAATGATTCGAACACACTGAAGAGCTGTTTTCATCAACATTTCTGATAAAGTGAACGTCATGGATCGTGCCTAGCCTCTCAGTACATACATTTCCGTCTCTCTCTCTCTCTGAAACGCTTCTTTCTTGTGAAAGTCTGTAGCCCAGTGGTGATTCAGAGTGCACGGAAAGGTCTTTTCACCCGCCACCTCCAAGTAGATCCGTTTTTCTCCCACATGGTTGTTCTTAGGTGCCATCAAGTCGGGTGTGTCTTACAGCAACCCTGTGAACAGAAGATCCAAACCCTGTCCTGTCCTGTGTCACGCTCACAATCGCTGACACACTTGAGCTGATTGCCACCGTCTCCGTGTCAGTCCACCTGGTTGAGGGTCTTCCTCTCCTTCACTGACCCTCCACCCTTCCCAGCATCGTGTCCTTCTCCAAAGAACAGCCCCTCCCAGCAAGATGCCCAAAGTGTGACAAAGTCTTATCGTTCTTTTCTCTGAAGAGCATTCCGGCTGCTCCCTCTCCAGGCCCTATCTGTTCATTCTCTTGGCTGTCCGTGGATGTTCAGAACTCCTCTCCAACACCCAGCTCAAAGGCGTCCGTTCTCCTGTCTTCCTTATTCACTGTCCAGCTCTCAGATGCACAGTGAGTGGCTGGAGAGGCCGTGGCCTGTGGTCTCTGGCTCACAGGGGCCGTGTGTACATCAGAACAAAGGCCTGGCTGGCCGTGCGCCGTCCTCACCACCACTGCTCTGCTTGAACCTGTCCATGTGGCCACTTGCCGGCCTCTCTCTCATCAAGTGTCTTCCTGTCCTTCTCTGACCCTCTGTTTTGCACAAGTGACCTCCTTCTCCAAGCACTGGCCCCTTGTGAAAACATACCCATGTGACATGCAGATTTTATACAACGCGATGGTCCGGAGAAACAGATAAGACACTGAATATGGGAGAGAAGGACGCACCATTTCTTGGTCTTTATTTGCACAAGTGTTAGCACAAGCAGGAGCTCACATGGGGCCTGTGATGCCAGATTTCTTTGCTTACTTAGGTCCCCGGTGTTCATGTATGATGATGTTCTGAGCCGTCAGTCAGCACCTCCTCACAGCTGCCCTCCAGTGAAAATACAGACGCTGTAAATCACATCCAAGAACATGGCCCGTCCTTTTTCTGAAAAGCACCTGGTGGATTTGAACCTTCTGCCTTTGGGTTGGCAGCACAGCTCCGTGCCACTCGGCTAACTCATGCACATCACAGGAGTGATTGTCACAATGTCCCTCAGGTGCCTGTCGTCATCAGCCACGGGAGGTGACATTTGAGTTGGAGGAGGGCAGCTTCCCCAGGTCCATGCCCCTCAGCTGGGCTGGCAGGATGCCTGGCGTGGGGCCGGGTGTGGACCGGATGATGGGAGCATGCTGGGGACAGTGTGGGGACCCGCTCTGTCTCTCGTCCCTCCCACGGTTCCCCGGGCCCTGTGATCTCAGGCTTTGCTGAGCGACCACGGCCCGGCTCTCTCACGTCACACTGGACATCTTGCTGGGTGGCCTGTTGGACCCTCCAGCCCCATGGCCATGTGTGTGTTCCTGACTGTGGGGGCCCCCTGGGTCCCGCGGGAGGTTAATTACTGCTGATGGGCTTGTCAGACTCTCCAGAGCTCACAGCTTGCTTTGCTCATTAGCGGGCGAACCCTGGACCACACTCAGCCTGCAGGGCCCACCTTGTCCCTGGGGGAGGCGGCTGCACAGTCTGTCCTGGTTCACAGGTTTCAGGCTGGGAGGCCGCTGCCTTTGGGGGGAGGCTCTGTGGTTGGTGCGACCATTAGGTAATCCCACTGTTAACCCGAACACCACACCTCTCAGAAGGGTCGGGTGCACCAGCCTCTCTGCAAGGGAAAGATGGACAGTGTCCTCCTGTGGGATTTACAGGCTTGGACCCCCCTCCCAGGGTCGACTGTGAGTCAGGCCTGACTTGCTGGCAGTGACCTTGAGTGCGAGTGGTCTGTCTTATGGCACCGTTGTTGTTAGGTGCTGTTGAGTCCGGAGTGACTCACAGTGTCCCTGTGGACAACACATCTGAACCCTGTCCTATCCTGGTCAGCCTCACAGCCACTGACACGTGAGTCCATTGCTGCTGTCACTGTGTCAGTTCACTTGGTTGGAGGTCTCCCTCCTCTCCTTCTCCGACCCTCCGCCTTCCCAGCATCATGTCATGTCCTCCAAGGAATCGCCCCTCCTAGCAACATGCCCAAAGTATGTGAGGTGAAGCCTCATGATCCTTGCCTCCAAAGAGCACTCTGGCTGGACCCTCTCTGAGACATACTTGCTTGTTCTCTTGGCCGTCCATGGGATGTCCAGTGCTCTTCTCCAACACCACAGCTCAGAGGTGTCAATTCTTCTGCAATCCTTATTCATTGTCCAGCTCTCGGATGCCTAGCAAGTGACTGAAAAGACCATGGCCTGAGGCAGGTGCACCTTAGTCCTCAAGCTGACATCATTGCTCCTCAACAATTTGGAGAGGTCCCTGACTGCAGGCTTTCCCAGTGTAGTACATCTCCTGATCTCCAATTAGGTTTTAATTCTGAATCGTCTGCACCTACTTTCTGCCCTGGGAGGTGGCCCTGGTGACAGAGAACATGGCTTTCTGGCCGTCACGGAAAGGTTATTGGTTCAAATCCCCCTGCCGCTCTCAATGAGGAAGAACTGTCCCCTCCTGTCAGGATTCACAGCTGAAACCCGATGCGGGGTTGCTGTGAGGTGGGGCTGACTGGACAGTGCTGTTTGTGGAGATGCTAACTGTAAGGTCAGCAGTTCAATTCCCCACCCCGCTGCTTCTCAGGAGAGCTGGGCTGACCCCTCCTGTGCAGGTGGACTGCAGCGGGCACCTGGAGGGTCTCCATCCGGGGGAACTCATTCAACCTCAATGAGGTTTGCTGTCAGTTAAAGCTTCGTGTGAGGACCCCGGGGACTGTGGGTTAAATGATGAAATGCTTGCAGAAAGGCCCACGGTTCAAGTCCTGCAGCGACTCTACAGGGGAACGGGACGCCTGCTACTGAAGAGGGCAGCTGGGCCCTCGGCGCAGCCGGGCCCTCGGCGCAGCCCTGTTCTGCCCGCTGGTCCTGAGGTTGGACTGACAACACAGCCGCGGTGACCTTGGTCTGGCTTCGCACCACCTCAGTGTTTGCTGACTCCCCTCACCCTGGCCTGAGTCCCCGCTCTGACTCTGCATCTGTGGCCCCTGGTGCCCTGTATGGGGTCAGTGCGGGGTTGGATTGTGGGCACCACTGTCAGAACAAAGGGCTCGAGCCCCCAGTGCCCATGAAGACAGTGCAGGACCAAGCAGGAAGCCAGAGGCCACTGGACAGTGGGCAGTGAGAGAGGACAGCCCCGGACAGCAAGAGGGGACATCCCTGGACAGTGAGACGGGACAGCACTGCACAGCCCTAGACAGTGAAAGGGGACAGCCCTGGAAAGCAAGAGGGGACAGCCCTGGACAGCCCTGGACACGAGAGGGGACAGCACTGGACAGCCCTGGACAGCAAGGAGACAGCACTGGACAGTGAGAGGGGACAGCCCTGGACAGCTCTGGACAGCCCTGGACAGCGAGAGGGGACAGCACTGGACAGCCCTGGACAGTGAGAGGGGACAGCATTGGATAGCCCTGGACAGTGAGAGGGGACAGGAGCCCCGTGTCCTGAGAAGTGGGTGTCCAGGTGGGCGAGTGGGTGTGGCTGTCTGATTTCCACATCTGGTCGGTGGTCAGTGGTCCATATAGTGTCCCTCTGCTGAAAGGCCCCCGGAGGAGAACTTGAGAGCAAATTCTCTGATTAATTCCCAGTTCCATGGCTGAGTCATCCAAGCAGAGCTGCCACTGAAAATGAGTCTAATTGGCTAAATGAATAACCCCGAGTCCTGCTGGCCACTGCCGTCCTCTCTGAATTATTGATGCCCAGTCCCTCCTAGAGCAGCGGCTAATGACGAGCTGCCACTGGCTTAATAGTGGCCATCAGCTGCAGATCGACGTGGACTTATTCTGCTGACGTCCAGCCGGTGGTATTGGCTCAGCTGTCAGCTCCCGGGCGGGCAGGTGCAGCCGTCTCCCTCTCCTCCTCTGTCTGGGCCTCGTATCTCTCCAGGTAACATAAAGACGCACTCGTTTCGTTTTCAGTCACCTCATATGCCTGTGAAAGCTGGTCAGTGGATTAGGATGACAGAAGAAGAACCGGTGTCTTCAGCTGTGCTGCTGGGGCCGTCCTGTGGCCTGATGGAAGGACAGATACGTCATGGACCGGGAAAGCCAGAGCCGCTCTCTGGAGGCAGAGATGATAAAACTGTCTCACGCACTTAGGACGTGCTGTCCGGAGTGGCCTGTCCCTGGAGAGGAGCGTCGTGTTTGGACAAGGGTCAGGGCAGGAGACCCTCACTCAGGTGGATTGAGAGTGACTCCCACAGCTGGGAAGTGGGTTATGCTACACAAACAACTTTGCATTTCGTGCGGTAGTTACAGTTTCTGTGGCTGGGCGCTGCCTCTGATGTGGAGTGACCACAGGTGGAGTGTGGGGACCGCCCGTGGGTTTCCTCGTGGCCAGCCTGGTGGGAGTAGATGGCTGGGGCTTCATCCTGAGAGCTGCTGCCTGAGTGGGGACTTCTCATGTTCAAGGTCAAAGTGGGCCTGGTCCAAGCCCTCGTCTTCTGAGTCACCTCGTATGTGTGTGAAGTGGGAAGATGAAGAAGAGTTGATTCCTCGGAACTGTGGTGGGGAAGAGGCTGGGTATCTGCTGGTCTGCCCCAGTGACAGACAGGAAGTCCTGGGGAAGGGACAGCCAGTGTGCTCCGTGGAGGAGAGCATGGTGCTTTTAGCATCTAACCACGTGTACTTAACTATCTTAATTACCAGGGGTCCTTTACATGTGTCCGACCTGTTTTCAGTAAGTGTCATTTCTGTGTACTCTCAGACATTTGTGTGTGTCCTATGAATCTCGGAAAAGAAGCACCAGTTGGTAAAAGGTTGGAAGGAAGTGAACCAAATGGTAAACATATTCTCATGGTGGTGGGGTTATGAATACATTTTTAGGCACACAGTTCAAATCCACCAGCTGCTTCACGAGAAAAAGGTGACTGTCTCTTCCTGCGTGATTTACTGCTTGTGAAAACCTGCCAGGCAGTCAGCGATGGCTTGGTTCCGACTCGATGGCACAGAACAACAACATCAAATAAGTGTGTGTTTTCTAAACTTTTGGCAACATACGTAAGGAGGGAAAAAGGCCTGGGAGATGTTTCAGCCAACTGGGCGTGAACAGAGTCGATGGCTGGGCAGTCGTCTGGGCTCTGCCCCTGGATGGAAGTTAGCAAATTCCTTTGAGAGGCACCTCAGACAGGGCTGTGGCCCGAGAAAAACGTGGGGAGGGTGCTCTGCATGGCGGTCACTTCCTCCTACGCAGGCAGCACCGATCTACAGGTCACACTGGTGTCATCAGAGCACAGACCAAGAGGGACACTCAGCCAGGGGGAACGGTGATGCGTGCTTTCCGCCCCAGAGTCGGGGAGATGGAGGAAAACACAGCCAGAGAAATGACAGCCCCCCCCCACCCCCGTGATCTTGGAGGCAAACGGGAGGACTCCCCTCGGGGCGCGCCTCCCCTCGGGGTGCGCCTTTAGAGCCAGGAGTGGGCCTCGTGTGAGACAAAAGAAGAAAAATAATGAGCGGGCCGTTCACAGTTCGAGGCCACCAGCTGCCCTGTGGGAGGAGGACAGGCAGTCTCCTCCTGTTTGATTAACTGACTCTGAAAACCCAGCTGGTGAGCTGTGGGTCAGTTCTGACTCGATGGTCCGCTACAGTGGACAAACCTGTATAATCCCATTCTTAATAATCTCCACTCCAGGCTTTACTCGGTGGAGGAGCCGGCATTTTGGGGGATTGGCGGCTTTGCTGGTGAGCCGTTTCTGGAGTCTTCCACCCCAGTGGGACTAAGACCACGTGGGAGCGAGTTTTCTGTTGAGTAAATGTGTCTGCTGGTAACCAGCCCCTTCTGCTGAGCCTCAGTGCATCTTGCTAAGCGAGTGTGGATGGAACTTCCAGTGGAGGGAGCTGGTGGGCGGAGGGGTCCCTGAGACTGCACGCCCGCCACACAGCCTGGCCTTACGCAGTTTGAGGGTGGCTGTCGTCCGGGGCCACTGGGCTGCACCATCCGCAAACCGCTGCACCCTCCTCGCCTCCACCAGCACCCGGATTGCACGTTTTTCAAGGGAAACCTTGGTTCTTTTGGCAGTCCGTGGCATAGCCAGCACTCTTCAACAACACAACACAAGGCCTCCGATTCTTGTGTCTTCCTGTTCGCTGTCCAACTTCCAGATGCGCATGCCTGGGATGAGGTGCACCCAAGGCGTTAAGCTGACACCCTTGCTCTTTAACACTTCGGACAGGTCCTCGACAGCAGATTTCCCTAACGCAGCGTGGCTTTTGAACTCTTGATCGCTGCTACGGTGGGGGTTGATTGTGGATCCAAGTAAAATGAAATAATTGACAACTTCAGTCTTTTCTCCATCTCTCATGATGTTGCCTATTGGTCCAGAGGTGAGGATTTTGTGTTCTTGGTGTTGAGATGCAGTTGATCTTGAAGGATATAATCTTGCATCTTCTGTAGCAAGTGCTTCAGGTCCTCCTCACTTTCTGCAAGCAAGGCTGTGTCACCTGCATAACACAGGCTATTGGTAGTCTTCCTCCAATCCTGACGGCCATTCTTCTTCACAGATTCCAGCTTCTCAAATGATTCACTCAGCTGTCAGATGATGCTGTCAGAAGCTGTTGCATCCACTACAGCTCACAGTCACCTTGTGAGCCGGCCCTGGCCTGGCCATCCTCCTCCTCCCGGATAGATTCCAGCCGCTCTTACAGCCGTGGTCCCCATCTGTCTTGTTGAGGGTCTCTTTGCTGACCCCCACCTTCCCAAGCATGCTGTCTTCTTCTAAGAACTGGCCCTTTCTCACAGCATGCCCAGAGTCTGTGAGACGAAGACAGGTTGATTAGCTAAGAAGAGGAACCCTGACGCAGACCTTTCCTGATGTGAAACTGTGTGATGTTTCCTTGGGTTTGAAGAGCTGCTTCTTGGTCCATGTATTGATTTCACATGAGTGCAATGAAGAGTGTGGGATTTTTAGTCTTCCTAATGTTATTGTTGGAAGGAGGAGTGGCATCCACTTCCGTAATAGCTTGCCTCCAGAAACCCTATGAACCTGGAGAGAGGATGAAAGGCACCCAAGTGTCAAGGACTCTCCTTCATAGGGTTGCTATGAGTCACCTGTGACTCGACCACACTTAAAAACAGCAACAATGTTATTGTTGTTGTTAGGTGCCATCCAGTATGACCCACAGCAACTCTGTGAACAATGGACCTGAACCCTGTCCTGTCCTGTGCCGTCCTCACACTTCTTGACACAGTAGAGCCCATTGCAGCAGTCACCATGTCAGTCCACCTGGTTGAAGGTCTTCCTGTCCTTTGCTGACCCTCCACCTTCCCAGCATCTCATCCTGCTCCAAGGAATAGCCCCTTCTAGCAACACTCCCAGAGTATGTGAGGTGAAGCCTCTTTATCCTTGCCTCCAAAGAGCACTGGCTGCACCTTCTCACGACATATCTGTTTGTTCTCTCGGTCGTCCAGGGGATGTTCAGTGCTCTTCTCCAACACCACAGCTCAAAGGCGGCAGTCCTGTCATCCTTATTTATCATCCAGGTCTCAGATACAAGACCAGTGATCAGAAAGACCATGCCTGAATCAGATACACCTTAGTCCTCAAACTGACATCATGATTTGCAGAGGTCCCTCACTGCAGACTCACCCAGAGCAGTGCGAGTCCTTGTTTCCTGACCGCTGGTACCGAAGGTGTTGACATGGGCTAAAGTCGGCCCATTCTGACCCGTTCCCGTCGGTGGCCGCTAACACTGCCGAGTGTTGGTACCTCCTCCTTTCACTGATTAAATGTGAAGCCGTTGTGGTCGCTCAGTGTCGCGTTGGAACTGACTCACTGCTGACCCTCTGGCTGTTTTTCAGAGGCTGTAAATCACACAGGAGGAGACTGTCCCTCTCCCTCCAGCAGGGCAGCTGGTGGATTAGAACCGCGTGCTCTGGGTCGGCCTTATGGTTCCTTCCCAGTGGGCCTCCAGTGGGGGTGCCTCGATGAAGTCCGCGAGCGGTGGGCTCTGTGCCTGACCTCAGACGACGTTGCCCACAGGCCGTTGTTCTCAGGGCGTATCTTGTTCTGCTTCTTCTGACATCTTTACACTTTACGACGTCTCCAAGGGCTGGACACTCACGTCCACCGTTGCCTTTGACTAAGGGAGGACGGAAGCACAGGCCGGGAGTGCGCTGTCCCCGCCCTGTTTTCGGGTTGGCAGGGGACAGTGGAGGGCAGCTCGGTGGACTGGGGGCCTGGCAGGCGGCCACGTCTGGAGAGGTTTGCCTCCACCACGTCTGCCCTCTCCTCAGGCCGTCCGCTCGGCCTCTCAGACGGTTCTGATTTGGCCAAATGACTGCCATTCGCTGTCATTAGAGCTGCCGGCAGAGGCAGCGTCTGGGTTTTTGTTTTAAATAAAAGCTAATCACAGGTTGGGCTCTGAGAAATGAGGAGCAGGAGGCCCCATTGTCTTGGCGGGGGAAGCGGGCAGGGGCAGTGAGCAGGGGCAGCGGGCAGCGGGCAGTGGGCAGTGGGCAGGGGCAGTGGGTAGGGGAAGCGGGCAGAGGCAGCTGCCAGGGACGTGGTCCTCCTGTTCCTCCCTGGTGGGCTGGGCCTGGCACTGCCTCCTGCCCCTGCCTGCTCTCTGTGACCTGCAGCTCACCGGACACCCCTCACTCCCCTGCTCGCTGCTCCATTAGCTCCAAACCCCAAGGCTTCCAGAGGCGCCCATCTGAGGACTTCCATCAGGCCGCCTGTAATCTTCCCGGGGCCACACTGCCCACGTTTCTCTCGGGAGCCCTAGTGGATTAGAACTGCTCACCTTTTGGCTAGACGCCCGATTGTGTGCGCACTGCACGTCTGGGCTCCCCTGTTCATTCGGGCTTTGACATTTCCCTGCCTGGCCCGAGTCTTTGCTAGGAGCCTGTGAAGCCTTCATCTGCCCTGTGTCCGAGATGCAGCGCTCTGTCTGCCCCAGGCTGCCACCCGCCTTCCCGGGCCGGACGCCAGGCCCCACGAGGCTGCATCAAGCCGGGGCCTGTGTTTCCCCGACCTGCTCCCAGCTGGGCTCAGTGCCTGGACCTGCCCCGGCTTCATGTGGCTCCTGGGCACATCTGTCACCACAGTCTGCCCGGGAGAAGAGCCACCCACATACAGCCCTGCCCTCTGCGCCAGGCAGTGGAGATGCTGCGTCCACACACACCCCTCACCTGCCGTGGGGGTCCTCAGGGTGGCCAAAAGGGACTGCTGGAGGGGTGGGGCGCCCAGAGCCCAGGCCAGCCTTGGGGGTCCACAGAGTGTCTGAAACGGATTGATGCGGTGGGGGTGCCCAGAGCCCAGGTCAGCCCTGGGGGTCCACAGAGTGGCTGAAAGGGACTGCCGGGGGGGTCACCTAGAGCCCAGGCCAGCCTTGGGGGTCCACAGAGTGGCTGAAATGGACTGCCGGGGGGGGGGGGGGCGCCCAGAGCCCAGGTCAGCTCTGGGGCTCCACAGAGTGGCTGAAAGGGACTGCTGAGGGATCGGGTGCCCAGAGCCCAGGCCAGCCCTGGGGGTTCACAGGAAAGGGTCTGCTGGGATGGGGTGCCCAGAGCCCAGGCCAGCCCTGGGGGTCCACAGAATGGCTGAAAGGGACTGCCGGGGGTGGGGGTGGTCACCTAGAGCCCAGGCCCACAGGAAAGGGACTGCTGGGGTGGGGTCACCTAGAGCCCAGGTTGGGGGTCCACAGAGTGGCTGAAATGGACTGCCGGGGGGGGGGGCGCCCAGAGGCCAGGCCAGCCCTAGGGCTCCACAGAGTGGCTGAAAGGGACTGCTGGGGGATGGGGTGCCCAGAGCCCAGGCCGTGGGAACAGACGGAGGAGTGTCATATTCAAGGATCCTGCCTGCATGGGGTCTTGTGCCATGCAGTGAAAATTAGCCCTAGTCTCTAGGCAACGTGTGTGAGCCATGCTGCCACCCTGAGGTCAGCAGTTCAAACCTACCCGTTGCAGCTTCAGAGGAGAGGGTTGAGTGCGGCCGTTGGAAGCTCCACGGGGTTCCTCCTCATAGAGCTCCCTCATCGTGGCTCTTCCTCTCCCTGTCTGGTGCCCCTCGACTACCACTTCCCGTTGGCCATCCACGTCTCTTCTGATACAGACCCTTCTCATCCCAGCCCCACTGAGCCCCACTGAGCCCAACCAGCACGGTCCTTTCAGGTCACATGCCCTGCCCACCCTCTTACTCAGAAAGGCAGTGCCTGGGCCTCCTGGCGGTGGACGACCACTCCCCATCTCAGCTTGGACGGCTCCCCACCCTGGCCCTGGATGGATGGCTGCTCCCCCACCCTGGCCAGGATTCAAACCTCCTGCCTTTGTATTGGCAGCACAGTGCCTTACCGCTGGGCCACCAGAGGTTCTGAAGCACAGTGCTGTTGTTTGGTGCTTTCAACATGGGACTGATTCCCAGCTGACACTCTGGTACACTTTTGGAAACAGTAAATAGCACAGGAGGGGGTTCCCTGTCTTTCTTTGTGGAGCAGCTCGTGGATTTGAACTGTGCACCTTTGGGTTGGCACTTACCACTAGGCGACCCGAGCTTTAAAGCACAATTAATAATAAAAAGAAAAAATGTCAGAAATATCACAAGGACATGATTTAAAGAACAGAAATCCACTTTCTCAAAGTGTAGGTGTCTAGAGACTGAATTCAGGGCAATGGGCGTAGAGGGGCCCGCTCTCTGTCACCCTGGGGGGAGGTCCTTGTCTCCAGAGTGTCTGTAGTTACGCCAGTTCCCCGGTCCTCTGGTCCATGGCAGTCCTCACGTGGCTCCTGACCCGTTCTGCTCCTGTCGACTGCTCCTTTTATCACTCAGAAGTGAGGGTTGGGACACATTCTACAGTGAGCCGTGGTGTTTTCAACTTCATCCAGAAGTTGGACAGCGAATAAGGAAAGGCAGAGAGAATGGAACCTGTGAATTATGTTGATGAAGTGTGCCGTCTGTCCCATGGACTGCCGAAAGAACAAACAGGACGTCTAACCTGAGTGAGCGTACGAAGCAAGGCTGGCTAAACTGGGTCTCACACACTGTGGGCATGCGGCCAGGGGGCCAGTGTTTGGAAAAGACATCATGAGGGGAAGGGAAGAGGGCCAGAGAGAGAGAGGAAGACCCTCAATGAGAGAATTTGACACCATGGCTGTAACAAAGCGCTTGACATGTCAGTAATGATGACGATGGTACAAGATAGGGCTAGATGTGACGTTCATAGGGTACCTGTGGGTCATAGGCCACGCCAAGACCTGTCACATCACCTACACTGACAAGGATCCAGCAATGACACAAAGGAAGGCCGTTCTTAGGTTGTCCACACCCAGCGGCAAGTTGAGGAGCCCTCACAGACATGGGACATTCAGTGCTGAAAGGCAGAGTGACCGGCAGGGTGTGTGGCACCGGAGTCTTTACCCCACTGGCCCTCCCCAGGCCTCAAGGCCGCTCTCAGTTACATTTCTGGCCCAGAAAGCTGGACTGTCTGGGGGCTGGGCCTTACGGTCCTCAGAACCTGTCATTTCCTGGGCAAAATGACAGCATCCCGTTTTATCCACAGCATTCCTCTGTGGTTTCGGTTGGGCGGCTTTATTTTTGCAGGAACCCCACTGTGTGTACTTCCTGTCTGGGATAAAGGCACTGTCCTGGGATGATTGCTTGTGACTCTATTGGGAGAGGACCAGGAGGCACCTGCTAGACAGGGAACACGCCTCCACACCCACGCCGCGGCCCACGTCCCTCCCCAGCCCTGGGAGGCTGCCGGGGACTGGGCATCTGGGCAGCACGCTGAGCAGATGAGGGTCCTGTCTCCTGGCAGGGAGGGCAGCTTGTTTCGACACAGGGCCTTGGACTCTTTGCCCCCCAGGCAGCTCTCAGTGCCCGTCAGGTGCTAGGGTTCAGCAATGTGGAGGGTGCAGACCTCATTCACTGTGCTTTGAAGACAGAACATTCAAACCCTCAGGCACCTCCCACCCCCATACCACCAATTGATGTCAGCCCTGCTCATGCACTGTGTGTGTGTGTGTGCGCGCGCGTGTGTGTGTGTGCGCGTGTGCGTGTGCGCGCACCACTTCCCCAGTAGCACATGCCCCTTCGTGTCTGTGTGTCTCTGTCTGTGTGTCCCGCTGTGCTCCTCTGGATGGTCAGACTTTCCCACCCTGCTACTACTGCACACCTCACAGGCTACACTCCAGTATGCATGTCAATTTTTAAATAAAATTTTTATTTTATAGCAGTTTACTTAAGAAATTGGTATACATTGATTTTCACACCAGATCTTTCCCGCTTCCTTTACCACTCCCCCCCCCATAAAATTACACAACCCTATAATTACTGTCCCCCAATCCTCACCCCTCTGCTTTTGCCTCTTGGATCTCGACACACGTTTTTCTAGTTATCTTTCTATTTCTACTGTAACGGTTTTATACAGTATGTCCTTATGAGGCTTAGTTCATTTAACATAATGCTCTCCAGTTCCCCCAAGTAGTGAGTTTAAAAATCATTGTTCTGCATGTTGCATAGTATTCCGTTGTGTGAATGTAACATAGTTTCACAATCCGTGAGAAAGCAATAGGACATTTGGGCTGTGTCCTGGTTCTTGGGATGGTGAATAATACTGCTATGAGCATTGGTGTACAAATCTCCATTTGAGCCTCAGTTCTCATTTTCTTGAGGTGTATGGAATTTCTGTGTTCAATTTCTTTAGGATATGTCAAACTGCCTTCCAAGTGGTTGTACCGTTTTACAATCCCACCAACAGTGTATAAGAGTTCCTACCTCACCACATCCTGTCCAACCTTTATTACGTGCTGTCCTGTTAAACTCTGCTGCTGCTACTGCAGTGAGATGGTACCTCGTGGTTTGGATTCGCATCTCTTTTGAGCATTTTTTCGTGTGTCTGTTCGCCATCCGAATATCTTCCTCTGAAAAATCTCTCCATGTCTTTTGCCCATTTTTAATTGTGTTATCAGTCTTTTCCTTGTGGAGGCCTTGTAGGAGTCTGTAAACTTTTGATATGAGACCCTTGTTCAAAATGGTATTGCCGGATGTTTCTTTCCTCAGTCAGTAGGTTGTTTTTTAACTCTACTGGAAAATATTTTTGATGTGCACAGGGATTTAATCTTCAGAAGGTCTCATTCATCAATTTTATCTTCTCCAGATTGTGCATTTCTAGCTGTATTTTCAGTTTCTTTACACTGTAGACTAGACTGTCCAAGCTTAATCCCAGTTTGTCTTTTATGAACTTTATGATTTTAGGCTTTACTCTCAGGTCTCTAATCCACCTTGAGTTGATTTTTGTGTATGGTGTGAGATACAGATCGTGTTTCAGCTTTCTGAAAATAGCAGTCCAGTTTTGCCAGAACCATTTGTTGAAGAGGTTGTCATTTCCCCATTAGATAGGTTTTATTTCCTTGTCTAATATCAGTTGAACCATTCAGTTCAACACTCTTGGCACCAGCAGCCAGGAAATCAAAAAACATATTGTGATGGGAAAGTCTGCAGTTAGGGACCTCTCTAAAGT